GTACAAGCGTATTACATAACTAAAGTCGATGACCAAGAATAGTGATATCTCAGGTAGCCTAATTGAACTTTTTAGAATTATAGGAATTTGACACCGTTTTAAAATTGGATATCAATCTAAAAACGTTTGGTTGTTATCTAATATTTAGTGACTTATCATTGAAATAAGACGAAAACCACTACGTCACAACTTTTGGTGCATATTTACTTCAAAACACTGATCAACATAATAGTAATTGCCTTCACTCTCCTCAACAAATAGATGTATGGGAAGACTTTTTAGATAAGTGCATGGACATAACCTGATTGCCGGGATGAAATGATAATAACCACAATTAGGTCACAGACTCATAGTAACTACATAAATCACGGGTTATTTTCGAGTAATACATCAGATCCCACAGATTATTTTTAATTGATATCAACCTTAACACTACAGTTGACAGGACTTTTTTAGATTAGTCTGGTGCGTACCATACATTTGGTAGAGACAGACAGCTCTTTAGTTAAAGTCTACTATTATTACCTTGCCTTTAGTCGGTATAGGGATTACAGACTGTAGAAGAAATCTTGTTCGACAAAAGTGTCACATACTCTCGCTTAAGACTGGGTAAAGCATGTTATATTGTGGTGTGTGCTACTTATATTGACATAAGTAGTATATGATGTTTGTCGTAAACAAAAGGTCTGGCAACAGAGAGACACGAGGATCGAACAGTAAAGAATGGAAACAGGATGCAATTTATATGAAAATGCAAGAACAATGAAGTCTGAGCCATTTTAAGACAATTGATGAACATTTTGCAAACTAAGCATTTACCTTATGATTGTTAGATTTTATTAACAAGTCCTGTAATTTTGTGTTAAATACATTCGATTGTCCCCACTGGTGTTCGTGTTCACTACAATATGATAGAAGTGTAAACTACTAGAAGGCGAAAATGGGTTTGGTAGTAGATTCACGAAGTAATCATTTTCATGCTACTATTGCACTGATTTGACAGTTAGTATCTTTATGTGATTTTTGTAGTACAGTACTTCATATATTTAGCCGTAAAATATTAGCTGACTAGTATGTTTAGGGTCAAAAATCCATATCTCATCTCGATAATCTCGGAACCATTTCTAGTGTATTCACTTATCTACACAGGAATAATAGAGATTATTTTACCAGATGATCAATATATGAGAAAAAGCCTATACGTTCAGTAGACTTACTGTATCTTTATGATTTATAGAGGCACCATATTTCATTAGTAAAGTTGCAGCTTGGAAATTGCCTTCTTCGCATGCATAATGTCTATAATAAACAAGTAAAAAAGACATATGGTATTGATGCATAACAAATAATGTGATTTTTCCATAGTAAAAAGAGGTGTATGAGCAAAATTAATTCTACACTAAAAAGTTAAATGTTTCACGATAACTAGTTTAACAACTGGACAGCGATGGCTCTAAGCTTTCACTCGATTACAAAGCTAAGTTTATCAGTTTTTCTAGTCAGTCGTATTACAGTTTAACTAACAACTAAAAACCACAAAATACTACAAGAAATATATTTGAGTAGTTGGTTTTCTTTATGAGTTTAAATGAAGTCAAAATGACAATTGAGACAATAATGAGTTCATATTTCGTGGTTTCTCTTCAGCTCTTTACGATTGTATTCGTATTAGTGTAACAATGAGATGTAATATGAAGTAACAAAGATCATTGATGGAATGATAACGACTGTCAACTGTGTATATATTATAATGCATGTGTGAGGTTGTTCGAAGATGGAATTCAAAAACAGGGGTGAGGCAGTCCGGAAAATGGTAATCTCACTTGTGCAATTATCATGGGTTTGAAGGACTTAAGAACATTTGGAGGTATATGTAGAAAATGTGGAGCGAGGATTTGGTAACTGTCTAGAATTTGATACTAAGTAATAACTATAGAAATTTCGCAAAGTTTTGACGATTGGGTTAGTGAAAAACGGACAACACATCATTTTAGCTTGGATGTAGTAACTTAGCCTAGCGAAGATTGCCGCACAAAATAAAAGCAATTAAGGTGATTTCAATCAAAAATGTGGATTTACCGAGGCTGAGTTGTTGTACTGTTTAGACTTGTACATTTCAGTCTGAAATTCTTTGGAACGTGTTCGGAAATGCGAATACATACTCTTGTTTCCTCTATAACTCGATTTTAAGCCCCGTTCTATGACGTCTAGTAATACCATTCAGTTACCCCAAAAAAGGAAATTAAGTGAAGTTCGAAACATGATTTATCCGTTTAAAACCGAGTACATTAACTAAGCTATTTGTTTTACCAAGGCTTTACAATCTTATTTCTAATATGTATTATATTGCTCACCTTTGGAAGGAGAGTTTTAAATCATGGAATGAAAAATGTGGATAATCATATCCCAGTTCATTTGTAGATGAATTGGCAATTTGTTGATATGCTACACCATAGAATAAAACGTTTTTATGACTCGTAAATGAGAGGCTTTTCACTGAAACTACAATAAATACATTATAACTAGTCATAGGTTCATGAAGTCGACCTTCAGACATTCGTGTTATTACTGAACTATTCAGATCAAAGTATATGGCATGCGGATTAGTTTTTGACATATTAATAAATAATTAAAATCATACGGTTTACGCATTTCCTAAGAAATGGACTTTTACCATATGTAAGACTATTTTTATTCTAATACTTATCAACCACGGTAAGATTTGTCAAAATTCCGGTAGGATTAACAACATAATTACACAAATGAAGCCATGACAACGAAACGATGGAAGTTTAGTGGTTGGTTCTAATCAATACGTGACAATCTTGAACATTACTCCAACCGGTTTGGAGAGTTGAGTCAACAAAAGAATCAAAAGTTCTCAAACAAAATGTAGCTAAGAGTTTGTGATATAGTTCTAAAATCGGTTAGTGAGTCAGACTATTTTGATATGGTAATGCGAAGAAATGTTATTTATGGTTTACAGTATATAATATACTAAATGATGAGTGAAATTAATGAAAACTTATTATTCTGAACCTATTAGAACTAGGATTGACACTAGTTTATTACTTAATCATAATAATATCAGTACATGGTTGTGGAGAATGTCAATTTTTAATTGAGGTCATGAACTGATCAATGTTTGACCATGATTAAAAACCTGGAAACACTGGACAGCTGTTGTGTCGTGATATGGGACTCGTCAGCAGTACGTATCCACGATCCCGCAAGCGGGGTTTGAACCGAGGACCTTCGATTATGCGCTCAATGCTGAGGAGTCCCACACCTGGACGAAACGGCCATCTAGTGGTCTAACATTGGTCGGTTCATGTTCTCACTTAATAATAAAAATAATACTCTGATAAATTGTAAGTAAAACTGTACAGCGTTACTAATTGTTTTGGATTTTACAATCATTTGAGTACAAATTGATGTATCACCCAAAATAATATGGAATTATGGAGATGAAATGAGAAGCGATAACGCAACCACTAGTTATTAGATGTGCAACAAACGTACAAAGACATTTAGGCGTAACTACTTTCTTATTTTTCCCCTGTATATACTTGAATGGTGAATCACGCTTGATGACGACTTGAATTTGACAATTTTATATAAGGAGGCGAGACACTAATAACCGACAAGCTTATCGTCTATGTTATCATGAGATGACTGATTTACTAGAATATTTATAGTGCCAGTAGACAGTAATGACTTTTATGAACTGGGATGTGTAATAGCGTTGTCCCAAACAATCAATCCGGTGTTAGAACTTTGTAATAAATCGATGTAAATGTAAACCGTGTGTTTAAATGTCGATAACCGGATTATTTGAGTAATAAATTGTCAGTAAAGACAAATAGCTGACCATACAAAAGCTAAAAAGTACGAAACATTTGTTTTTTATGCTCAAGTTCAGTAAAAACCTGTTTATTCGTATAGCAGAATAACATGATGCTAAACACAACTTAGCAGATGATAGTTATGTAAAAAGAACAGAAAGTGTCGGAGACAGACTCTTGTTTATTTATAAGCGAAAACTTACAGAGGTGTTTGGCCTTTTTTGTCAGTTAAATCAACAAGCGTTGAAAACAGTTTATTGCAGCCTTCTTCATTACCAACATCATTTTCAGTGATTGTATGGTCTAAAAGATGTTTGGCTATATCTAGGTTTTCGGTAGCGATTGCACGATGAAGCGGTGTAACTCCTCCCCAATCTTTTACGTCTGGTTTCGCACCAGCATTTAATAGCTGTTTGACTAACTGGAAAAATAATGTTAGGAATGTAATTTTGAACTTGTCCGTTTAGTATAATTAAGAATAACATCAGCTTGGGACACCAAGAATTATTAAATAGAATAAAGTTATTTTATTATTATTATAAGAATTACCAGTAGAAATTCGACAGCAGCGATGTAACTTTCAAGTGTGGTCGGACTCCGAAACGTCTATGCAATAGTAGACATAGACAATTTCTTGTAGAAAGACTAAGTCTCCACTTTTATCCAACATGCTATTTTCATGATACCGTAAAATATTGATATCTCTTCTATATTCGTTTTAATACTGAACAAGGACAGCAATAATTAGAGAAGTCACTGATCGTTAGGTTAAAGGATTTATGAAGATGCGATCTATTTATGACTACAATGAAAATGAGAGGAAAAGAATCGGGAGCAGTTCAACCGGCCAAACTTTAATTAGGCACTAACAGTTACCATCGAATCGGATCTCAGGCATCATTGTATGACATACAGCTCTATAAGGTTGTTGAAATTGCTTTTTGAATAAATCCTTTATGGAATCGAACAGGCTTTCAGACTGATGAAGGTTCGATTAATAGTTGGTTAGAACGATGCATTAGAGTGATCGGGTCAAGCTATATTAGTGAGGAATGACATTTTTATTTAGATTCGCATAATTAAAATAAGTATAGCTAGGTATATGGAAATTATATTTTAGATAGAACCCCGAATGAGAAAACTTATATACATAAGGCACATGATGATGCAGTGAATATATCTAAAATATACGGAAAAATACTCACCTGAAGACGATTTTTAGAAGCACAATAGTGAAGACAGCACTGACCTGTCGAATTTATTACATTTACATCAGCATGCTCTTGCTCTATAAGATATGAAGCTACATTACCACGTCCAGCGGAAATAGCAATCATAAGTGGAGTCCAGTTAGACTAAATAAAATAATAGATGAAAAATATGATGACCTACAATATTTTTTATGATGATACAGACCTTTTAAATGATCTTAAAATTCATGAATGCTGATAACATACCAAACATATTTTTGAAAGACTCAAGTGTCGTCAACAATTTTATCAAACTTGAGGATATCTAAACAGAAAAACAATCCTGAAAAGGTTGAAGCTAAGCAGTCACTCCCATCAGCATACCTATAATGAAGTTGAAAAAGAGTAGTGACAGCAGAATTGTTCGATAACACTACCTATTATTGCCACTTTGAATGAAAATTTCCCATGAACACCTATATTATTAACCATCAAAAATTGCCTACAGCTTTAGATGTGGAACCTGGTCTCTTATAAAATATCCCTGTACGATTGAGCGTTAACAGTCTCTAGGGGTTATCCTATACACTGCTTTCACGAGGTTCCAGTTCAACGAGTGTGAAAAGTGGGCAACTGGTTCACAAATCAGATCAATGAACATGGAATTTGCTTGAAAAGGAACATTTATTGTAGTTTAGATGCTCATACAGTATCACAACTCTCACAGAAAAAAGACATGGATGAAGTTCATGCTTTGGCTTATGAAGACATGCGAACCAAATATTTTGTCACTCAAAAATTAATCTTAGACTAGTTAGTGCTGATGAGTTGCTTTTTTTGACGTTTGACTATTAATATTGACAGAGCCTAAAAAGTACTAGGTCCTCCTCACTACAAGAGTTGTTTATATCATGGTGAGATGAAAGTTTCGCTAAAAATAAGGAGTGACTAGCGAACTAATATATTTTAATGGGGATAGAGCAAGTATACTTTGTCAAAATAACGTACTACTAAAACCACTGTTTTTTAATACACCGTAAAAGAACTCTGTTATTTTTTATAAATGAAAAACTAGAAGTATTCAAGTGGACTTAACCATAATTATTACCTGATCTTTGCAATCTTTATCGAAACCTCTAGTCAGAAGAATTTTTACCAACTCTAAATGACCCCCACAAGCCGCCCAATGAAGAGGATTTCGCCCAGCCTGCAAGTATTGAGTCCAGAGTTAAAAAAGTTCACAATAAAACCTGGTCAACAAACGACTTTTCGCCATCTGATTCCAATATTTTTAGTACTGCGGTAACAACCCCATCGTACGCAAACCGGCATACTGCTAAGTCAGACATCAAAATTTAGTCAACTGGGCAGCTTTGAGCTATAAACCTGTAATGAAATAGGACAGATGGTATGTTAGCAAATGAAACTAAAAAATATTAGCAAAACAATCCACCTTTTATCGCAAAATATTATTTCCACAAAATTCTTGAACTTTCAAGACAGTTGATCTAGTTAAATAAGAACTACTTGGGTAGTGGTTTAATTAAAAATTAGCCTAGAAACGAGAAAGTAGCTTGATCTTATTCCACCACAAGACGAGGTTCATAGTTAGTGATTGTTGCAATATAGACAAGTGTTAGATCACATCGCCTGGTCAAAAAAGGAAGTATTATAGCAAACAGGTGAGACTTTGTGGCTGAATCTTGCAAACAATTGCCCTACAGCAACACTATTAGTGATGGACTAGTAGAATGGATACTGTACGAATTATACTTTCGTCACAGAATGGTCTAGATTATCTATCAAATAGTATTTTGATATACAGCATTACTGACCACGATTTGTGAGACAACTATATTCCGTGCCTTTAAGTGATATGGCTTAGCAATGATGACAGTAGAGATCAACCACGCCTTCTCTGGATTTTGAATATGGTATTACTCTTTTAAGTGCACTTGGCTTTTTTTGATCGTTTAATATTGTCACTAGTTTTCTATTGACGTCATTAAACAAAGACAGTATTTAATATCGTCAACACCCAATCTTTGGAGAAACATTTATCATTCCTAGAGAAGCAACAGCATAACACTTTGTTGAAATGCGTCATCAATCCCAAACTTTCCTCAGTTCTGAGGATTTTCCTCGAATTTCCAAATTATCTAGGGAAAATGCACTGTAGTACATTTTATCGTATAACCACCAGTTAGAAGTGCCACATAGCGATAAACCACAATATCAACTTTGTAGTATTGTAGACTGGCTACTTAAGCAACATTTATATAGACTTTTTAAATACGAGCGATAGCAATCAAATGTATTTACCTACATGCATCTACATAAGGGATGGCTCCATCGTTTTCACAGACTGCGTGCTCACGAAATGTATGTTACGTTTAAGCCAACAGCAAATAATTCATACAACCATTGTTATTATAATAGTATTATAATACAAACAAGTTAATGAATTCGACATAAGAAATTTGTACTAGGCTTTTAGAGAATACTACAGCAAAATATATTATTAAAAATAGATATTACATACATAAAAAGAACCACGACGCACTAAAAGGTTTGAAGGAGTAGCTAGGTGGCATCGTGGTGTAACGCTATTAAAAATCATTACATATGACGTTACTAATGTGAGTCTGTTGTCTTGCAATAAGGAAAACAGACTCACATTAGTAACGTCATATGTAATGATTCTTAATACCGTTACGGTGGGACAAGTTAAAATTACCTCAATTGTGCTTACACGGCCTTGATAGGCCAAAGCGGCGGAGGGCATTTTGTATTTGAATGCTACGAAGTGGCTATCTTGATCTTATAGTGCCTTGATTGTCCAGCATATGTGTACTTGTAACTGTTGGGTAGATCTTAAAACACTCTTATTGCTGGATCACTCCAATTAATATATGTTACTTTGCATTTCATAACTATGTAGGCTTCATTAAGTTTGAGGGTCGAATCGTTAGAAAAGTCTGAGATACTACTGTTGTGAGTCCTCTTCCACGTATCCGGACTTACATATTCAATAGCTTCGTTCTATTCGGATTCCAGCATGGTTGTCTTTGCAGTATATCATGTTATAGAAAACTTGTGCGGCCACGATAACTGAACTCTTTCAGCGGAACACAAATGTCGAGCGAAAATTGACCTTCAGGACTTCTACAAGACATGTAATGGGGTTACCATACGACACAGTTGCGTGACGATGGAGATTGGTAGTTTAGGTTAATGATTTTGCTGGAGTTTCGTTCTTTAGACTGGATGGTTTACTCCAGGAGCATTAGATGCGCTTCTCTTTACTCACGATTTTTGGTAAAACAATTAAAGTTTTTCGAAAATGCCATCCAGATGAGGACAAGACTCCATCAAAGACGGTTTTATATCTCTTGTCCGTCTGGAAAACATTTTTTTTTACCATCTTTTTAGGCGTTTTAGGGATTCGGTAACTTGATATACTCCAGATTTGACTGTATGAACTTGTCCCGGCAACTCAGTGGCTGTGTAGCCTAATGACATCATTCGCTTTTATCACTTTGTATATTTGTACTCATAATCATACTTATTTGCTGCATATGTTGCTATGTAATTGTGCCTTGATTTTATGTAACGAGATAGGAAGTCACATAACAAACGGATGGTTGTAGCATGCAAGCAGTTATCATTCTACCAAGGAAGCGTGATGCAAATTCAGGGATACGTGGAAGAATGTGGGCTTCGAGTGGTTCAATATGAATCAAGAAAGTAACCGAAAGTTTTGAGAAAAATCTCCGGGACTTGTCTGTATACTTTAATTTCGATTACGTACTATCAGGAGTTTAAGACTGTCATTTAGGGGTTAGGCAATAAGAGGCCTAGTGTCCCAAATTGACTCTTATTTTGTCAGACTGGTGACTGTAACACACGTCCTGCATTTTAATCAAACAGGAATCAAGGGCCAGAGGCTAAATTAGGTTAAAACAGAAGCGAAAGCTGATCAGACTACTTTGAAAACTTTGGAATTATTTATATTAATGTGTCCCACGGTATAACTATTGAGATATTGAACAAACGCTGTCACATGTGACATCAAAACTGGCCTTTGATATCTCATCTGTTTAAAACTTGGTAAGTCAAATTGTTTAGTAAACATAGGTAGCAGTAATAATCACCAATACATCATCATTAGAATAACGCTCCAATAAGTCCATTGGCAAGAAGAACCAGATACGCATATTAGCCATGATGTAAAAATACCTAAATTCGGAACTGTAGCAACGTTTAAGATTTCGCACTCTTAAGTGACTACTCCAAACCTCCAAATACCCCAACGAAGATACTTCAGTTTTTGTACCCTAGATAAGTGAGAGTCACTTAGAATCCCGAATTCATGAGCCCAGTCCAAATTTAGTTTCCAAAATTCGCGGTATCCACAGTTGATCTAGACGGTAGAAATATTTAGTGTTCACTTCAGCTCAGATACATAAAATCGAAAATGAACAATATATTTAATATAGTAACACTAGAAACCTCAATAAGCAATGCAGACGAGTGGTGCTAAATCGGTGAATATTTGTACAAATATTCTTGAACGCTTCGTTCTTTAGCAACCACATTTACCGCTACAATGGCAAACTCGTGGGATCAACTATAGATCATTACGGTGTCAAAACATTAAAACTATATTATGACAACTTCAGAATGAGTAGAGAAGTTCTCATGCAAGGATGTGAAAAATGTCACTAATAAAGTAGTTTCGAGGTAAGGGTTAACTGTTCAAGTCAGCAAACGTTTACAGCAAGTAACAGATAATGTTAGGTCATTCATATCAGACACGGTCAAACAAAAATATGATCATTAAATGTGATAGACTCAAAATATCAAAACGCTTAGTGAAACGAACATGAAACATTAGCCGAAACTCCAATGCCGTCATTGAACTGATTACAAGCTATAGTTTGTTAGCAGTTAAAAGATGATTATGAGCACGCTAACAATATGATAGAACTCTCGAGTGTGTCAAAAGAATTGTAGCGGTAAATAAATCTCCAAAATAAATAGCTCTGTAAGTTTTCGACATTGGATGCTGACCACATTAGTTCAAATGGACTCACTTAGCTGTAGGTGATCGGTCATGTATCCGCACCAAATCACGAGTGGGAACGCCGTGCTCAACAACCGCTGCAGTCGCTAGCCAGATTAGATCAGACGATCCACGATATATTGACAGCCTATCAGATACATCTTCGAACCTCCTCGCTTCTGTCTTTTGATTTCACTTGGTTTGTAAGCTTCATATTAGAAGGTGTTACTAGTTAGAGCGTTGTCAAACACTGAGTACCTGTGGCATCTTCAGAATATTGGTGTCAATATGTCCATTCATTATGCTTGAGAATGATTTTCATACCTCAGTCAATAAGAATCATTATAGGGCCTCTTCTTTTACGTTTGGTGATTACCCTATGGGGCCAACGAAATATCACTGAGCCCTAGTCATATCATAAAGTATGCAGGTCACAGAATGTCGAACAACTTACCTTTACTCACCATAGTCGAGGAAAACTTTTCACGCCAAGTTCTGGCCCATGCGGCACTGATTGTAGTCTTTATCTCCAATCTATTGAGACTGATACATTTCATATATAACGTTACGTTGATTTTATTCGGTCACCAAAGTAGTCACAATATCTAAATATCATGAGAGAGTAATCCACGCCAAACATTAATTGGGAGAGTTAAATTTACTGCAAGCTAGGAGGTCACACAAGTCTCGTTCACCTCGAGAAAACTACAGTCATCTTATGGACCACTTACATTGATAATATACAACTCAAAGAAAAGACTGACTCAAATAAGTATTACCAGCATTATCTGCCAACAGAATTAAGCATAATCTGTTTGTACGAAATTATTTTCAGAAACGACTAACACAGGTCAATTAATATAGACGTTGGCTGTACTTTGGTTTTAGTGCTTAGCTTTTCAAGGTCATGTATGTTTTTCCTTTACGTCACTTTTAAATTTAGCCTTAAACAGGACTTACTACATTTTCTCAGTTAGGAATAAACCTGTTGGAAGCTGAACAATTCGCAGATATGAAAAGTATTCTTAAGAATAGAGGTGTGAATAGTAAGTTTTTATATTGTTTTCAGACGTTTGTGCATGGATTACAAATATAATTGGTTCATAAAGAATATTTGTGTAACTCTTTCGATTTATATTCCCAAAAAAGAGCTTGAAACATTGCAGTCAATAGGAATTTTATTTTTTAATCTTATTACACATTTAAGATGGTGACTTGTCGGTACTGTGATTTCTGGTCAATCAAATATCAGTGCTTGAACAACGGTTCACGGGCCATAAAATACTACCCTTTGAGTTTCAGTCTTCCATGTGACAGATGATTGTTTCTCATAAATTAAATTAAGAGGCAAGATGTCAGAAACGTAGTACACAGAAGATTTACTCACAATGTGTACATTTTTATGACTATATACCTCTTAAGGTATGGTGCGGACCAGTTCTTCTCAATTTGGTTTGTTTTCCCAAATGTTGGTACTGAACTGTTGAACAAAAAGTATCTAGACCAAAGTCTTATGCTGCTTTTTTAATTCAAGGTGAAATCAATCAACTATAATGTAATGCGGCAGATGATCTGACCAATTATTTTAACAACAGGAAAACTAGACCATAATTGTTCACTGAATGTATTTGTTAGTTTTGATAAGCAAAGTTGACGATGTTATTTTTTCTCAAAATGTTCGGTTTTTGGTGAAACCAACAAACACTATTAATGTGCAACGAAAACGTGTGTTAATGCTTATGTCACGCAGCAACGATGCATATTAAAACCATTATGTATACAAAGTTCGAGATCGTAGCTCATCCTTGAAACTGACAGTTTTGCTGGAACCATTTTTGACACCAAACGACTTATAAGAAAATTTTGAGTCGGTTTTGACTGCAGTCTTAAGAGGGTAGTTACTCAAGATACTGTTAGAGTGCTTTCGACTCTTGACGGTTGTCTTCAAGAATTTTATGTTGTCGTTTCCTGAGAGGAAGTGCATTCCTTCAGTTGCGTTAATATAATGTAGTGGAATAGATTTTTGTGAAAGCCATGTAAGTTTTACACTAACTACCTTTGTTATCAATCCGATTCCCAAACGTAACTTTTCCTAAGCTTTTAGCCCCAAATCACTTGAGTTTAGGCTTATTCCAAGTATCAAAGTTTTATTTTGACTGATAAATCTTAGATAGTGTTCTGTTGTTGGTCTTTTTAAAGTTTTAACTGTCTTGCACATAAATTGGAGAGAAGTTACTTAATTTAAACCAAGGATACCGGTGAGTATAACATTGAGATGCCATGTTGGTAATATATTTTTCGTCGTTCTGAACGGTCACTAGTTATGTGTAACTACGATTCTATTTTTATTTGTCAAGCTTTCAGCGTACAGGCATTCTGTTAGTTGAATAGTTGGAAAAAAGGTTATCAAACGTAACTAGACAACCTATATATTTTATTTATTGTACGAATATGCAGATAGGTTTAGAATTATTTGGACGGTGATGTGATTGCTTTTTCGGCTTTCGTTAAACGAACTAATGAGGTTTGAAATCAGAAACAATTTGAGTTATGATTGTGTGGCAAATTTGCAAGGTAATAAACTTCAAAGGCAACCTGGAAATACATCTAAGCAAATTGAATGTGTTCATATTGAATTAGGAATACTATTCTGAGAGAGTTCACTGTATTGTTGAAGTATTAAAAAAGCTTAATAATCTAGACAGTCCATAAAGTATGTGGGTTACATCTTAATAAATAGACGGTAGAAACATACTAAATTACAAATATTATGGTTTACATTCCAAGTTTTATGGTATTAGGTGGTCAATTACTGTTTAGTAATAAATTAGAAATGATATTTAGCAATCTTTTCTGTTGAATGCCAATCACAAACTTGCTTTGGAACTGGATATTTTTCATACAATAAATTTCTGTGAAATTTAATAATCTAATAATGCAGTAAGTTTGATAGCTTAGAGTGAAGTAAATGTTTGGTACAAAATCATAAATTCACTTAACAGAAATGACTCGTCAGTGTGCGTACTGGAGATAGTTAAATTTTATTTAATTCATGAATCAATATAAATGAGATAACCGGTGAAAACATGAAAGCACTGAATGGTCATTTTTCTGTATATTTTCTGTCTGTTTAAATAGCTTTTCTGTCTGAAGTTTATTTAACTTCCTGACTCATACTCATTTATGATGTGAAATTCCCAATTATTAAATTTGATACAGAAAGTTTTATTTACTTTCTAAGTTACTAATACTCTATTACTTAGTAGGCTGAACATTTTATCATTCCAGTTTAACATCACTGATTCATGAACTTAATTTATGTCGTATGGTTAATAAACACACTTATTATCTAAAGTTGTGAATATAGTGGGTTATACGGAAGTATTTAGGTTTTCTTTTATCAAAATACTGTCCAGTAGATTGGGTATTTTTAAAAAAGTTTTTATATTGAAAGAATAATATTTCCATGTTATTGCGATGTTTTTCACATAAATTTTCGCTGTTAAAATTCAAATTCGTATATTAAACATCTATGTAACTTATACAGTTACAATATTTGTTAAATGACTGTTTTGCTTAAAGTGGCTAGAGATATTTCTCAACAGTTCATTGGTAGTGAAAAACGCGTACAACCATTTTATGTTGTTTGTATTCTCATTGCTGTAATACTGTTTTCTGGATTGATATTTCATTTTGTCAGCACATATAGTGCCAAAAAATTACGAAATAGTTTGCGATGAATAAGAAAAAGAGAATTCAGCGAAGAAATTTTTCTTTTCGACGAAATCATTTACTTAAGCTGTACATTCGTATATATAGTTAGATATGGAAAATGTATGTCTATAGAAGGATAGAATGGATTGTATCACACAAAAAATGGATTCGACAATAAATAACAAATGAGGTTAACGTAAGGAGAACAAAATTTAAGGGTCAGATAATAGTCCAATTGACAGATATGAAGAAAAACGTCAAAACAACAAAGGTCATAATAATAGAGTGAATGATAATCAAGAAAACTTGTAAAAGGTAATAATAATAAATGATTAGAGTTTAAAGTGCAAAATAGTAATAATAAAAGTGCTTTGAAAAAAAAACACCTAGAAACATACCCATAAAGGGAATTAGGGCCAGGGAAGGATAAGAGGTTGGATAAATCGTTTCTGCACGCAAAGTTCAGGCTTTAGTTTGTGGATTGCCAATGCCTCTGCGGTGCATAAAATATTGATTCGAACCCCCTTCGATCCAGTTCCTTTGACTCTGTAAACTATTTTAAACGAAGAGTCTTTTGGAGCGATAGGTCCACAGTTGATTAAGTGCTCCTGTATAGAACTCGTGATTGTTTTTCGCTCCTCTTTCAAAAGCCAAGCCGGATAATGTTCCGAGATGCGTTTGGATAATGATCGCTTTGTGCGGCCTATGTAACATGCCCCACATGAGCAAGTAAATTTATAGATACACATTGAAGTGGCCCAAAGCGAAAGTTTGTCCTTAACACACCCCAGAATGGTAGGTCGGCTAGAGAAGATGATTCGAAGCTTAGCTGCGTGGAATGTTTTATTAATTGATTTCGAAATCCGTTTATTTAGGATTTCAGCAGCTGTATCTCCCTTAAATTCCATATTCATAAATAGAGTTTTTTTCTCTACTGTCAATGCTTTATCATGGGGTCTAGGTACTAAGTTTCTATCGATGAATCTCGGTGGATAACCGTTTTTGATGAGGGTCTGTCGAAGATAAAATAGTTCCCCATCTATTGTGTCGTTGGAACAAATTCGCCTGATCCTTGAGGATAAAGAATGAATTAAGTTCCTTTTTCTAATTAATGGAACCCAACTGTGGAAGTTCGTGTATTGTCCATTCCAAGTGGGTTTTCTGTATATCGATCTCTGTAATAAACCGTCAGGCATTCTTTTTAAATGGACATCAAGAAAATGAAATTCGTGGTTTGTCTCTGCTTCTAAGGTGAATTGGATTGATGGGTGACAGCTATTGAAAACATTCAAAATATCATTGAGGTCAACGTCTTCTTCGCAAATAATGAAAGTGTCATCCATATATCTTTTATATAAATGAAATCTTTCAATTATTGGTCGAAGTACCGAATTTTCTAGGTTCGCCATAAAACAATCAGCCAGGAGAGGACCCAATGGAGAGCCCATTGCGACTCCATCTATTTGTTTATAGAAAATATCATTAAATCTAAATTGCACGTTGAGCGTACATCTTAGAAGTAGTTCTTTAAGGTAATGTATCGGGATACGCATATCAAGATTATTATTTTCAATATAGTCACATAAAAAGCAAATGGTTTCTGTGAGGGGAACATTTGTGAAAAGAGAAGTGACGTCTAATGAGAACATTTTTTACCGGATACATTGATATTTCTAATGGAGTCAACAAAGTCGAAGGAATCAAGAGAATTGTGTTTGTTGATATGATTTTTAACAGGTTGTAGAATGTTAACTAACCATTTAGCGATTGAGTGATAGGGAGAATTGTTCATATCCAGTATAGGACGTAGTGGGTTATTATTCTTATGAACTTTTGGTAGTCCATATAGTCTTGGTACAACAGAACCAGATGGTTTGAGGTGTTCATAGAGGTCATGATTGATAATATCCTCATCTTTCATTTTCTTCAAAATTTTAATTAGCATTTGTTCAGTTTTTTTCAGTAGTGTCTTTTTGAACGTTCTCAATAGAGAATTTGACAGGATCAGATAATATTGAAGATATTTTTGTAACATAGTCAATACGATCCATAAGAACAATTCCTGCACCCTTGTCTGGGCGGCATAATACTAAGTCCTGATTTTTTCGCAGATCAGATAATTGAGATTTATGTTCTTTTGTGAGTAATCGGCTAATTGTAGGTATTTTATTTACATATTGATTACAACAATCCACAAGAGTTGTTTTAAAATGCTCAAAATCTTCATTAGACACTGGAGTAAGGTATGCGTATCCCGATACATTACCTTAAAGAACTACTTCTAAGATGTACGCTCAATGTGCAATTTAGATTTAATGATATTTTCTATAAA